CCGCACCGCGCTGCGCTCGGGGGGCACGGCGGGGGTGCCACAGGCGCTGCTCCGCACAACACCCCTCTGCTGGCGCGGGGGAAAGTAATATTAAAGAGATGCGTCTGAAGAACAAAAGCGTTTCGAAAAATACTTGAGCTTTTTCAGAGATGGGCCATCCATAAGAAGCTTGACATGCAAACAGGTAGAAGGAAAGAATTTTCTAAAATTCCACATAAATCAAGTGAAAAGACGCGGGGGGTGGGGGGTAGGGGGTTAACTCTTTCCCAGTCCTTAGCCTGTACCTTAGCACCTTGGCGGGCACCTTTTGCTTTGAAATACGTAACACTGAGAAACATTCAGAAGATAATTTGTCAAAACTACACACACTGGAACAAATGGATATCAGTTGAAGGAAATTGCAAATACTGGATGCTATTAATTTAACAGCAGAGAAACAGCAGACACATTTTATTTGGGTTTTTTATTTCCCTTAGAAAAAGAAATAAACAAACAAAAAAAAACCCACAAACAGAAAACAAACAAAAAACAAACAACCCAAACAAAACCAGCAAACAAGAAACTGATTAAGAGGGCATACTGGAAGGATAATTTGCTCAACTCAGACATACTGACAGCCTCCAAATTTACTGGAAGCATTCACAAACAAGACTGGGATGTACCTATGCATAACACTGTGCAAGTATCTTCTTAATGCACAATGGCAACCAAAAAGCACTCACAAGATATCCCATTGCTTAATATGGGAGGCTTACTAATTATGAAAGTCCTATGATGTTGCTATACACAATCTTCTGTTTTACTGCCATGTGAGTACCAAGTTCAGATACCATTTGGAACCCATCAAAACATCACAGGAAACCTGTCTTAGGCAGAAGAGACAGAGGAGAGTGACAGTAAATATCTTCAGGCATATGGAAGGAAGAAATTGAAAACTGGGATAGATTACTGCAAAGAATGTTACAGACATGATAAAACATAGTGGTAGTTTCCAAATTTTTACAGTCTTATTAGTAAGAAGACCAAAGACACAAGGTGTTTTATACCGTCTTTTCTCCCTCTGTCAGTCTCACTTTTAATTTCCCCATGGCAGTAAGCAACATTAAAACTTTACACAAGCAATGGGTTGGTATGAGCCATGCAGTGGAGAGTGCTTGGATAGAGGAATATGATACTAGTGCTATAGGGAGGCTTATCAGGAAGTATCTGTCCAGGATTGGGTAACAGTATGGATAGTATCTATGGATAATAATTACCTGTATAGGTAATAAAGATTTCTGTCATTTACTGATAGTCGTTATTAGGATAAAATATTTATAAAGGATGTTTCACATTTCAAAACAAATGCCAACCATTATGGAATTGAGGTCTGGAAAGAAATTTCCTCATAGGTTTATTATCATGTAATTGTCCGTAATGGGGTTCTTCTGACTTCCACTTAGTCATGAAGCAAATGAGTAAAACAGTGTATAATAGCTATCTGCTGATGCCATATTCAGGACTAGATGGCTCAGCCATTAAAAGTCTGAAAACATCTATCCTGTAAATATTTGAAATCCAGTTATATCAATAGAAGTGGTACATAAAGATTACAGTTATAGTCAGTGGGGTGTCTTCTCTCATTAAAAATGCAAAATTAAATGACAGTTCTGCATTTAACATTTTCTATATGCCTTCTATACTGAGCATATAAAACAGTTAAGAAAGTTTAGTCTAACTTCTTCCATCGCAGACTATTACAGTTTTTATTAGAACAGTGTGCCTTCAGTTTTGAAGAGGATGTTGATTCTGTTTACCTAAAGGTTAGAAAGTCATTGACCTGTTCCTTACAGGTCCTAACTTTTTTCAAGAAGTGATTCCTGGAGATTGCTGTGGATTTGGACACAATGTACAAAACATCCAGCAAGTATTTCTTGTGAGCTTTACCATGCACTCACCTTTACTCTTTTGGACTCTGGCATTTAGAAGAAAACTTAAGTATTTATCTGGAAAAACCTGATAATTATTTTCTTGAAGTAACCTCCTCTCTTTTTTGTTACTTGTTGTCTCTGCAATTCAGTGTTGGCACTTTAGAAATCTTAATTGCATGTAATATTAATGCATCTGGGACCAGAACACAATACAGGTGAATACATAGATACATTTATATCTTACATACAGGTTTTAAAAGAGAGAATATGGTTTGAATGAAATATAATCTATTCTTAATAGCTGGAACTATCCAATTTTGACTAGAAGTCATTGAATGGAATAAAGAAAAAAGATTCCAAGTTGAATCAACCAGTTTTATACATTATATATAGCAGTACAATATAGATCCATGGGGAAATCATGCATTTTTTAAAGCAACGATTCTGTTCATGCTCTAAAAATTTGACTGAACGTATTATTTTCCTGATTGTTTTATTCTTTTATGTTTATTCTTAACTCCCTCATTGTTTTACTCCTTATGGCTGACCTTACTTAAATAATTTTGTCAGTACATATGGAAGCTTTTAAGAAAGAGCATATGAATTTCAAAACAGATGTCAGCAGGTGCTGGTGAGGTATCAGACATGGAGCTAGAAGACAGAAAGTGATGTGCCTTTCTACCCATTACCTAGGCTAGTACCAGATTCACAGCCGATTTGGCAACATTCCTAGATACAAGTAGCTTGAAATGGAGGCGGACAAGGAAAGCGCAGGTGTGGGAATTCTGTGAGTAGTTTATGAATTCACAAAAACTAGAAGGTGCATCAGTGCATTCTACTCGATTGTATGCCATCACTCTGGGGGCTACCGAGAGCTAGGTGGGGAAAGCTTTCCAGGGACTGGGCCTGAGGCAGGGGCTGGGTCGAATAGAACTCACCGCAGCCGAGTATCGGCCACACCGGTGGCGTTCCGTGGGGTGTCCCAGCGCGTTCGTGCGGAACGCACGGCTTTGCCTTCCCAGCAGGGAGTCAGGGCGCTAAACCTTCCGGGTGCCTGACCGTGTGAGTATGTCTTCCCATTCCGGCTAAAGGTGGAAAAAGCATTTTCGTCTCCTTATTCCTTCCTTCCTTCCTTCCTTTCAGCCGGCCACATTTTCCGCCAGTCCCTGCCAACCCAACTCATGTCTCCTAGAATGGGAACCGAATAAAAATGTGTGCCCACGACTAAAAAATAAAGAAGCGAAAGCAAACACGGCGTTAGGGAAGGCGCTGCCCGTCAGGACAAACTGGAGCAGGCACAGCTCCTCGCAGCCATTTGGCGTGAGAATCCTTTCAGTCTCTCCCCGCGCCTCCTCGGCTCTCGTCCGCCGCCGCAGGGCGGGCGGGGCGGCCCTGGGGGGCGGCACAGCGCGGGCGGGGGCTCGGCTGCCCCGGGCGCTCGCCCCCACCGCGCAGCGGGGCGGAGAGAGAGGGGGAGCGGCAGCGGGAGACGGGCCGCCATATTCCTGCCGCACCACGCCCGCGGAGCCCAACCATTTAAAAGCCGGTCGAGCTCGACCCCTGCTAGTGCGCTCGCTTCCCTTTCCGCTGTTCAGTCGGGAACGCGGGCAGGGCCGAGCCGAGCGGAGCCGAACAGCGGCAGCTCCCTGACAGCGAGCTCCGCTTTCCCTCACCACCACCTCTCCCCCACCCCCCCCCCCCCCCCCCC